AGTGTTCGTTTCTCTTAGATCAGTAAGAGTGGGGTTGCTAGGTTATATTGTAAGTACACGTTTAAATTTATGTGACACTGCCAAACTGTTTTCCGAAGTGGTTGTAACATTTTACATTCACACCAACATATATGAGAGTTTTGGTTGCTCCATGTTATTGCCAGTATTTGACACTGTCGGCTTTGGGTGGTGTTTTTTTGTTTTAGATACTGTACTAGCTGTGTAAAAGGATCACACCATGGTTTTAATTTGCACTTCCCATATAGCGAATGACGTTGAATATCTTTTTGTATGCTTAGCTGCCTCCCACATATTTTTTTGGTGCTGTTTTTACCTCTTTGGTGAAGTGTCTCTTCAGGTCTTTTGCCCATTTTTATTTTATTTTATTTATTTTTTGCCCATTTTAATTAATTAATTCATAAATTTTAAAGATTATTTATTTATTTGTCAGAGAGAGAGAGCATGAGAGGCAGAGGGAGAAGCAGGCTCTGCCCTGAGCAAAGAGCCTGATGTGAGACTCAATCCCAGGACCCTGGGATCACAACCTGAGCAGAAGGCAGATGCTTAACCGACTGAGCCACCCAGGCATCCCTTGCCCATTTTTAAAATTGTGTTTTTCTTACTGTTCAGTTTTGAGAATTTTATATATATTCTGGGAAAAAGCCCTTATCAAAATGTGATTTGCAAGTATTTCTTCCAAGTTTCTTGCTTGCCTTTTCATTGTCCTTATAGCATCTTACACAGAGCAAGTGTATAGTTTTGTTAAAGTCCAATTAATCATTTTGTTCTTACATAGATTGTGCTTTCTGTGGTGCATATAAGAACTCTGCTTAATAAAAAATTGTAAATATTTTCTCCTATACCTAATTTCTAGCAGTTTCACAGTTTTATATTTTACATTTAAGTCTATATACATTTTGAAATAATTTTTGTACAAAGTGTGAAGTATAGGTAGATTTTCCTTTTTTTGCAAATAACAAATCATTTCAGCACCATTTGTTGAAAAAATGATCCTTTCTCCATTGAATTGCCTTTAAAATTTGACAGATATCCATTTATTGTATTTGTGTGTGTCTATTTCTGCTTTCAGCCTCATTATTTCCTTTCTTCTTGCTTTGAGCATACTTTGTTCTTTTTCTGGATTCCTAAGATGGAAGGTTTTAGACTACTGATTTGATAACCTTTTCTTTTAAAAAAAGTGTTTAATGCTATGAATTTTTGTCTAAGCACTCCTTTAGCTGCACCCCCCAATTTTTCATATGTTTTAATTGGTCCTAATTTAAAAAAAATTCTCAGTCGGTTAAGCGTCTGCCTTCAGCTCAGGTCATGATCCTGGCGTCCTGGGATTGAGCCCCGTGCCAGGCTCCCTGCTCAGTGGGGAGTATGCTTCTCCCTCTCCCTCTGTCCTCCCCCCCGACTTGTGTGCTCTCTCTCTCTCTCAAATAAATAAATAAAATCATTAAAAAAAGATTCTTTTGAAACTTCCTCTTTGACCCAGGGATTATTTACAAGTGTGTTATAAAATTTCTAAATACATGGTATCTTCTCAAAATAACTCTGTTTTTGTTTTCTAGTTGAGTCTTACATTGGTCACAGAATATATGTTGTATGATTTCTATTTTTTTTAAATCCTTTAAAGTTTGTTTTAGAGCCCAGCATATGGTCTCTCTTGGTTAATGGCCCAGATGCACTTGAAAAGAACATATATTCTGCTGTTGTGGAATGTTCTACAATGTCATTTTAAATTTTCCCTTTTTCAGTATGGAGGTTCCTCAAAAAGTTGAAAATAGAGCTACCCTACAACCCAGCAATTGCACTACTGGGTATTTACCCCAAAGATACAAATGGGCACCTGCACCCCAATGTTTATAGCAGCAATGTCCACAATAGCCAAACTATGGAAACCTATATGTTCATCAACAGATGAATGGATAAAAATGATGTGGTATATATATGCAATGGAATATTATGCAACCATCAAAAATGATATCTTGCCATTTGCAATGACGTGGATAGAACTAGAGGGTATTATGCTAAGTGAAATAAGTCGATCAGAGGAAGACAATTATCATATGATCTCACTGATATGAGGAATTTGAGAAACAAGACAGAGGATCATAGGCGAAGGGAGGGAAAAATGAAACAAGATGAAACCAGAGAGGGAGACAAACCATAAGAGACTCTTCATCTCATGAAACAAACTGAGGGTTGCTGGAGTGGACGGGAGTGGGAGGGGATGGGGTGGCTGGCTGATGGACATTGGGGAGGGTATGTGCTATGGTGAGCGCTGTGAATTGTGTAAGACTGATGAATCACAGACCTGTACCCCTGAAACAAATAATGCATTGTATGTTAATAAAAAAAAAGTTTTCCCTTTTTATCCCTGATAATATTTCTTGTTTTAAAGTCTACTTTGTCTAATAGTATACAAGTTTGCTAGGGCTATTGCAATAAAGTATCACAGCTCTGGAGGATAGAAGTCCAAAGTCAAGGTGTGGGCCAGGGTTGGTTCCTTCTAAGGGGTTGAGGGAAGGATCTGGTCCAGGATGTCTCATTGGCTTGTAGATGCCCACCTTCTCCCCGTGTCTCTCTACATCATCTTTCTTTTTATGTGTCTCTGTGTACATTTTTCCTTTTTACAAGTTCACCAGTCAAACTGGAGAAGGGCCTACCACAATGACCTCACTTTACCATGATAACTTCCATAAAGACCTAATCTTTGAATCAGGTCATATTCTAAGATACTTAGGACTAGGATGTCAACATATGAATATGGGGGGCTTGATTCACGCCATAACAGATAGTAGTACAGTTACTCCATTTTTCTTTTAGTTAGGATTTACATGGTATATCTTTTTTCCATTCTTTTAACCCATCAATATGTAATATTTTAAAAACAGGTTTTTTATAGACAGCATATAGTTTATCTTTTAATTATCACATTTAGACCACTTATATTTAGTATGATTATTGACATGGTTGGATCAAAATCTACCATCTGGCTAGGTGTTTTCTATTCCATCTTTTTTTTTTTTTTTTTTGCCTTCTCAGGTTAATTGAGCATTTTTTATGATCTTATTTTATCTCCATAATTGACTTACTATGTATTTATAACTATCCTTATAATTCTTTATTGATTGCCTAAGGTTTACTAATATATCAATAAGTACTTAGAGCCTACCTTGAACTGCTGTTTTAGTGCTTCCTGAATAGTGTTATCTTATAGCGGTGTATTCCCAATTCCTCCCACCCTTGGCTACTGTTGGCATACATTTTATTTTTACACATGCTATATGTAACAATATATATATGTAACAACACATTGCTACTATTTTTGCTTTGGACTGTTATCCTTTAGAGAAAGTAAAAATGCAAAAAATGCACTTTATTTTACATTTATTTATTGCTGCACTCTTCATGTCCCTATATAGATCCAAGTTTCTGTAGTCTCATATTTTCTTTTGCTTAAAGAATTTCTTTTTATATTTTTTATAGTATAGATCTGCTGGCCCTGAATTCTCTGTTTTTGTTTCTCTGAGAAAGCCTTTATTTCACCCTCATTTTGAAGATATATTTGCTGGCTTTAGAATTCTGGGTTGACTTTTTTTCTTCTTTGAACACATTAGAAATGTGACTCTTTTGTCTTCCAGCTTGCCTGGTTTCTGATGAGAAGTTTGATGAGACTTATTTTCTAGCAAGTTGTGCTGGTTGCTGACACGAGGCCTTGGCTTCTCACGATGTAAATCTCTTTCTAAGGTTGCTTGAGTATCCTCATGCTATGGCTGCTGCCATCCCCCAGAGCAAGTGATTTAAGAGAGAGAGCAAGGAGGAAGCTACAGTGTGACCTACTCACAGAAGACAATACATCGCCTCTGCCACATTCTCTTTGTTAGAAGAAAGTCACTAGGAGAAGCCCATGCTTAATGGGAGAGAATTAGGCTCGGCCTTTTGAGGGGAAGAGAATCAGAGATTCTGTACATATACTGAAAAACCACCACAGGGTTTAAAGAGCCTCACTCTGGGGAGCACCTGGATGGCTCAGTCAATTAAGCTCTGACTCTTGGTTTCAGCTCAGCTCATGATCTCAGGGTTGTGAGACTGAGCCCAGAGTCGGGCTCTGCACTCATTGTGGAGTCAGCTTGAGATTTTCTCCCTCTGCCCTTCCCCCTGCTCTCTCTCTCTAAAATAAAGTAAATAAGTGCACTCTTTAAAGAGCCTCATTCTGTAGGGGCTTGTGAAGTGAATTTCTTGCCCTTGCCCATACCTGTGAAGGTGCTAACATGATTTGAATGGCTCAGTCATCACACTGTTCTTACAGTGACCCTTTCCATGTGTTCACACAGTTACCAGGGTCATAACTATCTTTTCTTGTCTGAGAAGAAGAAAAAGTATTCTAAACTCCAGCGGACTCCTGAAGGATAAAAGATAATAATGTGAACAGTAAGCTTATAAAGTTAAAAAAAAGAAAATATCCATAATATCCTTGTACACTTAAGGCAGGGTCAACTTTCTTTTAAAAGACCCCAAAAGTACAAGCCATGTAGATTTGACTACATCAAGATTAAGGATTTGGGTTAGATAAAGGACTTCCTAGTTAAAATTAACAAGTGATAGATTGGGAGTAGATATTTGCAATGTTAAAAAAAAAAAAAAAGGATAAAATTTCTTCCAAATCACAAAGAAAAAACATGAGAAACCCAATTCTTAAAATGGCAACAGATGTACACAGACAATTCACCTAATGGAAAGTTCTGTAGCTATCACGCATAGGGAGAGGTGCTTGCCCACACCAGTGAGCACAGAAGACGAAAGGCGAAAAGCAAGCCTTTTGCAAGCGCACACACGTAAGATGGGCAAAACCCAGGAGTTGGATGATGCCAAATTTGGAGGGGGGGATGGGGGATGGGGGATGGAGAGCCAAGGGAAGTCTGGGCCCCGCCCCCGGTCACGTGCTCCCCGGAGGGCGCGGGATCCCGGCGGGCGGTGCGCGCCCCTCCACCCACGCGTGGACCGCCGCTGTGTCTCCCGCCGCGGAGCCCGAGACGGGCCGCGTCCGCCACCTGGCGTCCCAGCCTCGCCCTCCGGATGCCGAGGGGAAAATACCCTCCTTGAGGCCTCGCTGCCTTGGAAGCCCCCCTGCGCTCGTCGGGAACATGAGTGGTCGCGCCCGCGTGAGGGCCAGAGGCATGGCCCGCAGCCCCAGCGCCGCGGCGCCGCCCCCGCCCTCGCCCTCGGTGTGTAGGACGCGGGGCCCACAGGGCCTCGCTCTCTCCCCGTCCGTGGCCTTCACGCACACCGCCTTCCTCTGCTTTTACCTCTCCGTCTCTGCTGGGAAGTAGTGGGGTATCTTCCCGCTCGGCTTCGGGTCTTTCCAGGGTTTCTCACCTTTTTCCCTTCTGGGGGGGTTTATCCGAGTAAGAGGCCGGTGAAGAGTACTGAAGATCAGAGGCAAGTGCGTCGTTCCCTTCTGCTTTCTGAGTGTTTAATTACTTGACTCGGTTTTAAGTCTCCTGGAAAGAACTGTTGTACCATTGTAGGGCATATGCTCTGATACGATTTGTCTCACTATTTCATACACTCGCATAAGTAATCTCAAACACAGATGTGGTTTAGATTCACCCGCTGTTTCTTGACCAGGCACGGTGGGTAGGACTCCTGGCTAGACCTAGACAAGATTAGATTAAATTGGCCGGCAAATCAGCAACTTTTGAGTGATGTTACTCCTACCTATCAGGATTGGAGCAGTCTCTTAGACCAAAAGTTCTCAAGTGAGTAGGCGGTGGTCACTGTGTCTTTATTTTCATGTCATTGTTTTCTCTTGACTTCATGCATTTTTTAGCAGGCCAGCATAGACTTCTTGAGCAAAGAGAAGTAGTTACTGTGAAAAGAGGAAATATTAAGGGTTCGCTTGGTCTGTTTCATGAACTAATTTGGGACCCATTTATTCAGGAGAGTCATCACCTGAGCCGGTGGCCCAAGTCCTCTGGGCTCAATTTATTTTCTTGCTACAAACGTGTTTGCATTGGAGACCCCATGTCTGGAGGCAGCAGAAGCATGAGGTCTGTGTTCATCTCTACCGCCTTTCCTCTGATGAGCCCCGTGGGCGTGAGAATCATAGCTCTACCTCTTTACACCTCCAGGAGTAACAGCTATATCTGGCTCACAGTCAAAATTAAAGTTTGATAAATGGGGAAAACTATAGCTGCTCTTTATCCTTTTTTTCTAGAATGGGCAGTCTCTTCCCATCATCTTGTAAGCATTTTACCTCTTATCATTAGCTCATGGTAGTCTGATGACTTAGGACATGATACAGTTCTTATTTTGTGATAACCTTTTGATTTATGACTTAAATGTAACCAAGCTTACCCCCCCCCCCATTTTAGCCTGCATCTGTTGATATTGGCAACAATGAAGCATCCTCTACCAGTGGCTTCCTGGGAACAAGCAGGATGTCTGAGAAATGTAAGTGCAGCTCTGTCTGTTCATTCCGTTCCATTCCATCCGAATGGAACAGGAGTGACTGCTAAGCTTTACAGCAGCAGGGTCATTTCTCGAGTATCCCATTTACCTCTTCTTGGAGGATCCCCTGTGTGTGTTAGGTTTCTTTGGGATTCCCAAACACAGTCTGCCACTGAATTTGCTGATACTGCTTGGCAGTTGGGCATCCACAGGCACTAGGAATCCAGTCTTCTGATTTTGTCTGTTCACTGAATAATTCTGAAAGATGTTCAGAAATTCTTTATGACATAGAAGTGTCAGTGCCCCACCCTGCAGGGGTAGTAGAAACCTGGCACCGCAGCTGCCATGCTCTCTTCTTTTTTCCCTACCATCTGATGGTAGCTCTGTTCACTGCAAATCCAGATTTGGACTCAGGATACGTGTCCACATGCTACCGCAAGTAGCCACTATCGCAGTGTGGGTCGGCCTTCCCCGTACCCTGGTTTGCTAGGGCTGCCATGACAAAGTACCATAGACTGGGTGGTTTAAACAATAGAAATGTGGTGTTTCATAATTCTGAAGGCTGGAAGTCCAAGATCAAGGTGTCCACAGAGTTGGTTTCTTCTGAGGCCTCTCTCCAGGGCTTATAGATGGCTGTCTTCTCCCTGTGTCATAACATGGTCTTCCCTCTGTATTTGTCTGTGACTTCATCTCTTCTTATAAGGACACAAGTCCAATTGGATTAGGGCTCATGCAAATGACCTCATGTTAGCTTAATTACCTTATTAAAGACCCCATCTCCAAATACAGTCACATTCTGAGATATGAGGGGTTACATCTTCAACATACGAATTTGGGGGACACATAATTCACCCGGTAACCACTGCTGAAACTTGTTAGCCATCTCCCTTGCTCTGACTATGAAGTTAAGTGATGTAAGCTCTAAGCACTTAGGTTCTCCCAGACTCTGTGGATCATCAGTCCTTCCACCGTCATCTGCTGGGCTCTCTTATTGTCCACCGGGATTTTTCTGACTCTTCTCAAGCACCCCCTGTGACCTGAGCTCACAGAAGTGCATGTGGTCTCTCGGAACACCTGCTCTGAGAGGCCGTGCGTTAGGTCCACCACTACTGCCGCCACCCACAGCCTAGTCCGGCTTCTCTTGGCGCTTGCATTCCATGTCTGCTGCACATTCTTGTGACTAGCAAGGGCTGGAGATGGAATTTTTATTTATTTTTAAAAATCATAGTAAAATATACATAATATAAAATTTACCATATTAACAATTTTCTTTTTTTTTT